AAAACTCATTCTCAAATCCAAAAAAAATATTTTCATAATATTCTCTTTTACACCAACTTTTATAACTTTTTAATACTACCCACATATTTTACAACTTTACAAATTAAACCACACTATTATTTAAAAATTCAATTTGGACTTTATGTAATTAAAATTAGTTATACATAATAAAATCGGAGAAATAAATATTCATTAAAAATTAAAATTTCACCACACAAATAAAATTAATAATTACAATTTGATGAAAAATTAAAAATTACAACACACAAGATGAAAAATTAAAAATTACAACACACATGAAAATTAGAAATTACAATACGCAAAATGAAAATTAAATATTACAACACACAAGAAAAAATAGAAAATTACAAGAATCACGTAAAAATAGATAGTCTTTCAAGTCTCGAAGTTGGTGAATTCTTCTCATAAATGATCAATTAGTGCATTCTGAAGTGCAATATGATCATCTTTATTTCTAATTTGTATTTTAACTACATCTTCGTTTCAAAAGTGAAGAAGATACATATACATCTATGTACCGATTAAATCAAAACTGTTACTTTTGAAAATATATGATTTAGTGCAAATTTACACTCTATACCATATATGGTGTATCGCATATATTCACATTTTAAAAACTGTTACTTTTTTTCATTGTATTATGTTATTTGTATCCTTTTGTTTGAACTTATGAAGCATCTCGTGTTGTTATACATAATTTTTTTAATTACTATTTGGATAATAAACATTTATATAATATTAGATATTCATATATAGCAAAATATGTTAAATAAAAATAAATAGAATATATTTTTATTATTTGAGTAATTAACATTTTATATAAGATTAAATATACATATATACCAATTTATTTAAAATAAAAAATAAATAAAAAATAAAATTAATACAAAAGATATATTTGATAAAATAAAGGACTAAAATGAAAGATAAAAGGAAGAAATGCATTTTCCTACAGTCAAACGCAAATTTGGGTTTTGAGGAGAGAGGAAATGGGTAAAAACTCAATTTGAATATGAGTTTGAGTTTGTAGTTCGGCTGGACACTTTTTACTGCATTTTTTGCGTTTTGGAATTCGGTTGGAGAAGGTCTTACAGAAAGCAAAGACCCATGCCTGACTGCTGAATCTTGTAAGTCAGTAACACATATCATACGAGGTTCTGTAGTATTAAATGCTATATGTACATAAATAAATGTACATAAAGATGTACATAACACTTACATGAAGTAAGATTCACTTGATTGTTTTTATTTTTAGTGAGTCTCACTGATTGTGAGTGTTATTTACACAACATTATATACCTATATATATATCATAACTCTAGTATTTATTACCCTTTCTCACTAGCAAAATTTCAACGCCGCCTTCTTTTTATTATCTTGATCAATAAAACCCAAAGAAAAAAAAAAAAAAGTTAAAGCCAATCAAATGAAGATCCAATGCGACGTCTGTGAGAGTGACGAAGCCTCCGTATTTTGCGTCGCCGACGAGGCCGCCCTTTGCCCCGCCTGCGACCACCTCGTCCACCACGCCAACAAGCTCGCCGGAAAACACCAGCGCTACTCCCTCCACCAGCCCTCCTCTAAACAGGCCCCCCTCTGTGACGTCTGCCAGGTTTCTTCAATCAAGATTCAATTTTTTTTAATTCATCTCTGCTCATTCCAATTTTTTTCTCAATCGATTTTTTTCTTTTTCTTTTTT